TCAAGCAGCATAAATATACGAAACGCACACACATACACACACACGCGTACACAAATAAATGCGTACAAGCATAGGCGAAGACGGAGACGAAGACCACGAAAACAGACGCGAACGCCAATCAAGCGAACAACAACAACAACAGCGCAGCATAAGCAGCGGCAGCAGCAGCAGCAAAAGCAACAAAGATAATACATTTTTGGAAATGTCAACAAAACGAAGAACGAAAACAAATTGTGTAAAAGTAAAAGAAAATGCCAATGTTGTGTGAGGAGAGGCAAGCGCAAAAGCGAGTGCGAGCGAGAGCAAGAGCGTGAATGCGCCAGCATGGGACGTGGGCGCAGTGCTGCGTTTTATTTATTTATTTTTTTACTTGATCAGCGAACGCAAAGATGGCGGCGTTGGAGCTGCGCATACGGAAAAGGCAATTGGTAAAAATGCAAATAATTGAAGAGTCGAGAATGCTAGTTCAATTTGACGTGTTCATTCGAACTTGTTTATGGCTTTCGGACTAGATCAGCTTAACTTAATTAGGTTTTATTGGGCCCTATTTTTAATGGCAATTAATTACAAATATATTTTTTAAGAATTCTATTAGTTTCTTTTTTAGCTCCACTCTTGAGTTCATTAACTTGTATTCGACAAAATAGCATGCATGTCTGTATGTATGTATACTTGTCTGTGTGTGCGTGTGTGTGTGCGTAGCTGCAGCGCGTTTATGCCTCATGTGGCGCAATGGCGGCCCTACGTCAACATAAACTGAAGTTTTGTGCTGGTGTGCATACCGACCAAAAAAAAAAAATAAATAAAATAAAAGACAGACAAAACTCTAATGTGTGAGGGGCATTCAAATTAGGAGGCGATTGCATAATTGCCAGTCTGCCAGAATGTACTCACAATATGCCTTATTGACTGTGTCTAATTCAACCACAAAGGTCAACAAGTCACAACAATGATCGTCGGAGATCTGCTGACTGACACACGTCCAGCATACGGCGATCCGGCAAATAAAGGAAGCCCGAGAACGAAAGTGAAAGGACATCGCGTCGAGTCCGAGTCGCAAGGACAATAGCGAACGTCTGACACACGTACAAGCCAAGCCAAGGCAAGCCAAGCCGAGACAAAAGACAATAGACAATCAATCTCCTTGGGCATGGCAGAGAATAGCACGCAGAAATGCGACAATTCAAACATATTTCAAGTCAAAAAAATAAAATAGGAACAAAAAAAAAAACTGCCAGGCTATCTATTGTAATTGGATCCTTTTCGAGATCCTTGCGCGTGTGAAGCACGACGAGTGCGCGTTTTTATTTCATTTCTATTCAGTTTCTGTTGTTGTTGGTGTTGTTGTTGTTTTGTTGTTTATGGTGGTGCCGCTGTCGCGTAAAAAATACCCAAACCGTAACCTATCCCTCGTCCCTGCGCCCCCCGTCCACTGCGCTCACACTATCTCTGGCCCTTATTTGATGAGATGTCCTCTGGTGCATACGGGTCGCCAACGATGGCGTCTAATTTATGCCAAATATGAGACTCGATATATATAAAACACAAACATATGATGGAAATAACATTGCATGTTTGTTCTCTGTGAAATTTAAGTGAGGTTTGGATATTATATAACTCGGGTTTATTTGAGTTTATAAAGAATATATCAATAGGCGATATATGACGGATCTGTTTTATTTGTCTGTTGTAGCTGTGCATAGAGTTTTTATATGTTGCATGTTGCATGTTGCACGTTGCACGTTGCATATTGTTGGAAGAGGTTGTATTTGATGCCAGATAGAAATACCATTACTGTAGTTTTTCATGAAACTTTGTTTTGTTGCATGTTGCATATGTTTCATATGTTGCATATGTTGCTTGTTATGTAAAGTCAACTTTTATTGCTGTCTATAACGAAACTTTCTTTTACAGAATTTTCGCTCCTCATTGGACTTTTAGAGCATTTTGAATGTTGCATGTTGCATATGTTGCTTTAAAGCTTTTTGCTTAATATACACGATTTGTTTATTTCATTATTCGGCCAGCTCATCTTTAGACTTTTGTTGTTTATCTATTTTAAAGGGTTTCCTGTGTTGCATATTGCCTGTCCTTTACCATAATTTATGAATCAGCTTGTTTCTGGCGGAGTTGAAAGGATATCTAATCTGCCCTCAACAAATATTTGTGCTCATATTCCATATTCATATATTTGACTAAAGTCGCGCTGGCGATAAGGAATCTATTTGATAAGCAATATAAACGTAAAAACTTGCAACTCCTTGGTAAAAAACATGTAAACATACATGTGCTGCATATGTGTGTGTGGTTCTCTCTATAAACATCAATATGAGGAAAAAACTAGTAAAAATGTGGCAGTTGTGCTAAACCGACTGCATGATACTCGTTTGCATAAAAAAACAGCTCAATTTATAGTTGATAGGATCTATGTCAACTCTTTTAGTTAAATGTGTTTAAATTTTGATGACTTTTGCTTGAAAACTAAAGCAAAGACAATATTTTTATTTTTATTTTTTTTATTTACCAGCTTCAAATATAAGATTATATAAAGACTTAGCTGTAAAGGTCGTTCAACAGAGAGAACAGTTGCTAAGTCTAGTCACTTTAGCTCTAGACATGATTTGCCACGCCCACACATATTTGAAATCAGTTTATAGAGCAGCTTATGTTGTCCTACTTTTATCACTGTAAAATTTATAGTTTTCCAAGCCTCGTTTAATGTAGCTCTAAGAGCTCATTAAGTTAATATTGCTATATAAATACAATTAGCTAGCTAGCTTCTATAGAGACCGACGATATACAAATATATATACATAGTAATATTTCTTTTGTTATAATCTAGTGGGCGTATTCAAAAGATCTATAAACTTTATAAAACGTAGCAAGCTTCTCGCTAAACGTCAACATTCGAACGAACAGTCAGGCACTGCAGAAAGCCAATATGCTCACTTTGCAGATTGTCAGCGTGTACAAAAAAAAAGGCGCGGAATGCAAACTGGGGGGTGGCGTGGCGTGGCGTGGCGTGGCGTGGCGTGGCACAACAGCCACGACTTTTGCGGCCTCTGTTGCAGCTAAGCTTTGGCTTCGTCTTTGCTTTTGCTTTTGGTTTTGCTTTTGCTTTTACGCTTCAACCCCTCGGACAAGCGAACACGAGCGGAGTAGGGGTAGAGGGAAAATAGGAAAACAAAAAAATTTGCATGCTGCTGCAAAATTACTAGATACAGAGAAACGTGCATGAATGTGTGCGTGCGTGTGTGTGTGTGCGTACATGCCACACGCAACGTACTCCACATTTACTATGTATGCGTAATAATGTCTTTGCCGAGTGCGAGGCAGGGCTGAGGCAGGGTGTGACGGGCGAGTGTGTTTGGGGTGTTTTCGATAAGTACTTTACGAGACACAACCCTCGTTTTGCGGATTTTTTTATGGTTTTGCCCAAAAGGAAGCCAACAACAACGACAACAACAACATGCATCAAAGTTCATACTTTCAATTCGCCCGGGTGGTTAGGGCTGTGCATATCTAGTGCCCATAACGGTGGTTGCTCTCACCTCAGTCAATTTATATTTCCTGTTCCTGTTCCTAGTTTTGCTATACCCATTTCTCCGGCTCCTGGTTTTGCCCCCTGTCAGAGCATCAGAGCTGCGCATTGGCTGATGCTTGCAATTTTATGGCCATGATGAAGGTTCGATCGGAGTTTTGGCAAATGCAATTGGCGATTTTGCAAGTTTTCGCTTTGGTGGTTGTAGCAGAGTGGCACGCCAACGGGTGGTTGGAACAGAGCGATGGGAGGAGCTCTACGGGCCAAGTTGAAGTCCAAAAAGTTGCAGATTTTCAACAGAAAATGGCGAAAATCGCAGCTAAATCTGTGTAAAAATAATCAAACCAAAGGAGTAGCGGAGCAAAGAGAAGAAGACAAAGTTCTAATGGAAATTAGATAAAAGATATTTGCCTGCCATAAGCTCAAGCGAATCCGGTAACAAAGGTACGCCAGAGGTGCCTTTGCTTACCCAAAAGAATTTGCATATTATTCGCCTCGTTCTTACGATCGGGCAAGGAAATTATGTAAATTAAGTAAATCAATCGAGAGCTAAATGAATATCGATCAAAATTGATTTGTTGCCCGTTGCGATGCAACCCAAACAGAAGAAGCCTTATACACACACACACACCTATATAGTGAAATACCTGAAAAAGTGAGCAAAGGCTGCCGAGCCAAGGAGTTGAGAGCGTGAGAAAGTTTTCTCAATGTTTTTGCACGCATAATTTACATAATTTTGCCTGGCCAAATAGTCGAGAGACATTGCTATTTCCCAATTCCATTTACGATCTTATGCAAATGAGCGCTGTTGTTGTCCCTGTTCAACCCCCCGGCCGGCAATGGGCTGCGCCGAGCGTGCGAGCGTGCCAGCATGCTGTGAGCTCCGGTACGGGCGCTAGCGCCGTCCACTGTGCGCATAATTAACCCCTGCCGTTCGTTGATTGTCTTCGGCCTGTCTTCTGTCGTTCGTCGTCTGCCGTCTGTCGTCTGGTTTTTCCTTCTCTTATGAGTTTTCAACGATTTTCCTAATTTCACTTTCGTTTCGTTTTGCGTTTAGCATTTCGCATATGCAAATTAGGATCTTTTTTTTTTTTTTGTAGGAGCATTGGCAACCCTTTTTCCTTTTCGCCAAAGTGAAAAATCTCTGCTGTTTATGCAAATTTGTGCACTCTGTGGACTCGGAAAACCTTGATCATCTTTGTCGCTCCAATTTCCGAGTCTCAACTCGCCTGGGTGTCAGGTAGAGCTAGACCTAGGCGCATCGTGAGAAACTGCTCGGCATTTGCATAATTTTTCGTGAAAATTCGCTCGACTACGTGATCGCTGTATAGACAGCCGAGATGCAGAGATGCAGAGATGCGAGGATGCGCTTTACAGAGATTCCCCCAGTCGCAAAAAAACAAAACTAGGCAAGGAAAAGGAAAAGGAAAATAGATGTGTCAATAGCTCTGCACGTCGAATCTTCACAAATTTATTTCAATCAGAATGCAAATGTCTCGTTTAGGGCAAGGATGGGGTAATCGGGGAACGGGTGGTCGAGGGCTCGCTGCTTGACTCGGTGTTGCTGCTCGTGTCGGTGTCGCTGCTGGAGTCGCTTTCGGTGCTGCTATCGTTTGACTTGCCAGCACCTGTTTCCAGTTCCTGCTGCTGCTGCGAGTTGGAGCCGCTGGCGCCCTTCTTGGTGGAGAAGCGTGCCCGCTTCCTGGCCGGGGCGGTGGAGCGGACGCGCAGACGATGTGTGTACTTGCGTCGATTGCCATTCAGCACCTGGTTGATGCTCTGCAGCCGGTTCTCGAGGCAGCGCTGCAGATTCTCCTTCTCGGCGGGCTTCATGTTCCGCAAATTGAGCTTGGTGTGCGGGTGCATGGCCTTCTTCATCAGGTTTAGGGTGACGGCGTTAAAGTTCTTGATATCGAACCATTGCAGGTCCGTGTTCTCGGGCGATATATCCTCCCTCTGGGCAATGACGTGCATTATTTCCATCTTTGTGCTCAGCGGCAGCATCAAGAACTGTTGCTGGATGGTGCGACGTTCGGCTTCGCTGACGTAAGCATGTTGCTTCTCGTTGTCCTTGACAGCGGTCGAGTGGGAGGTTTTGCTCTTGGCGCGCTTCTTCTCGCGCTCGGCTGCCACCATTTTCTTGATCCTTGCGTACTCCTCCTCCTCCTCCTCCTCTTCCACGCGGCAAGCATCCAGCTTGCCCTTAAGTCGCTCCACCGTGGCATCCAGACAATCCACCAGACTGTCCTCCCATTTCATGGTCTGTTGCTTTCGCTCCAGTCGCTTGTCATCGTCGTTCTTCTGCAGCAGATAGAAGAGCTGGCTGAGCTCCTTCTGCTGCGTGTGGTACGTGATGTTGTCCAGGGACTCCTGGTATATGCCTTCATATACTCCCTTTGCCCGATTTCGCGACTGCAGCAGCATGAGGTCCAGCTCCAAGTGGAAGTCCTCGTGTGTCTTGAACTGGTGCTTGCTCAGCTTCTTCGACACCCCGCCCAGCTTCTCCTTGAATAAGTCACGAAGATCGGCATCCGAGTGTTCGGTGTTGGATGCCTGCAGCTTCTTCAGCTGCTCGCGGCATTTGCGCTCGATGAACGCTGTGGTCTTCTGGTTGTTGCGCGGGCTGCAGGGAGCGCGCGGATCTCGGTTGCAGGAGACCTCAAGGCCTTCGGGCATATCCTTCAGGACTCGCAGAAAGAATCGCTCCAGCTTCTGGCCATTGCGATAGACGATATCGCCGGGTCGATTGAATGTATAGCAATTTCGTAACATCAGCTTAAAGTCCGCAATCAGATCATCGACACTCTGATAATAGAGATTCTGTAGACGCTTCACAATCGTGCTCACGTCCATGGGGCACTGTATAATCGTGTAGTAGGTGGGCACCTGCAGGGCCTCCGAGTCAACGGGCAGCATGAAGTCCAGGGCGAACGGCTTGGAGGGCAGCTCGTCCAGCAGATGCTTCCTCATGTAGTGCATCTTGTTGGTGTAGACGCCCACCGAACCAACCAACGGGATCACATCTGGCTGAACGCGATTTGGTATTTTCAGTTTGATCAGAAGCGACTTTTGTGAATGAATATTAAACAAATTTTATAATTCAATTATTCAAATATTATTATTATTTTTGTTTTTTTTTGGTTTTTTTTTTTTTCTGTGTTTTCACTTTTTGTTTTTGGTGAAAATTATTGCAAATATGCTGAAAAATTTTTTTAGTACTTACCATGATGCGTTTTCGGTGCTAGGATAACGGATCCTTGTGGAGACAGAGAAGACTATGATGATAAAGCTCCCAACAGTCTCAACGCCCGATTGACTTCTATCCATTTGAAAAAACCTTCAACTAGCTCGAGATATGTACAAATCATTTTTGACAGCAATGGCAAACTTGCTGAGTAGTGTTGCGAGCCTGTTTCGGCTTGTGCTGGTGGTGCTGGCTCCGCCGCTGCCCGCCAGTGTTGTGTAATGTGCGCGCATTTAATATTCGCCTGGCCAAAAATTGAAAAACCCTGAAGGAAACGCACTCTATAAATAGAACGCAAACTACGAGCCACAATGGGCTGCGACACTTCAAAGCGGCCAGAGCCACCCACAGATGCTCCGCCTGAGCTACGTCCGCATCCTCATCCTCATCCACATCCACATCCTCATCCTCCAGTGAGCTCCAACCGCCCTTGTCTAATATTTTGCACCACTTCACACGCAGTCGCCCGCCTGCCCGCCTGCCTGACTGCCTGGATGACTGGCTGCCTGGCTGACTGCCCCGCCTCCTGCTGCCCGCCTCCTGCCACTCGGCAATGGGACATAAAAACTGTTTTTTGCAATTTACATGAAACATTTTTATCACCCTCAGCCTTGGCACGGGACATTATGGCGCATCCATTCTATTAGTCGACCATGGCGCCCAAAACACACACAACATGCTTTTCCTATTTACACACACACACACACACACACACACTTGGGCCTTCATTCGACTCTCTGATTACCTTCACATGTTAGCGCCCAGCACATATTTTCTTGCTGCGTCTTTTTGCGACACTTAATTACACACGCATTCGCTTCACTCCACTTAGCCAGCGGTTGGCACGCCCCCGCCCGACCCTGCCCGCCACCCCTTGGCTAAAATAGTCTAAAATATATGCATATATATGTGAGTGTATATGTATCTATCTATATATATTCGCCCATTCGATGACAAGTGTACAGTCCTGCCAAATTTTCTGCTCTGCTGGGACAGCGTCTGCGTTTTTTTTTCTATTTTCTATTTTTTTTATTTTTTTTTCACAATTAGACAGTCTCGAACGCAATCAGAAATGCCAGCAACGTAGCTGCAGCGGCAGGTAGTTTCGTAGCTAAAGGTGTCAATGTTGCCTTATCATGCCGACCCCTGGCTAGAAGTGCCTCGTCTCGTCCTCGTCTCTGGCTTCGTCTCGCCCTGGCACTGACCCTGACCCTGACCCCTACCCCTACTCTGATCCTGTCCAAGTCTTTTCTTTCCTTAATTTTATCTCTGACGGCGATTAATGCGAATAAATTTTATAGTTGAAAATGAGAATGTGCACTGGCCGCTGCGTCCTTTGTCTGCCCCTCTCCCTCTCTCTCTCTCTCTCTCTATCTGCCTGTGCGTGTGACTGCATGTGTTTTCTTTTGCGTTCTTTTTTGGCCACTGTTATTCTTTTTTGTTGACTTTGTGCCTTTCTGTTGTTCTTAGGCCGAGTTAGTTGAGTAAGTATGTGACTCTTACAGATACCCTGTATGAATAGTGGAAAAGGGTAAATTAAATTTATGCATGCAATACTGTTCAATGCGAATTCTCTACATTTTATTAAAAATGCATATATTTTATAAAATTACACAAAATTGACTGATATAAAAATTTAAAAATTAATATTTAATGAAAATAAAGCATTAAGAAAATATATTATAATATTGAAAATAC